ACATGATAGCAATTGTTTTCGTTTCTTTATTTCTTTTAATACTACTGCTGTTTGGAGATTGAATCTCTTTATTTTTCATTGAGCATTTAATCTTTTTTGAGCAGCGGCGTGTTTCGAATATCAATAGAAAAATTAATTTTAAAATGAAAATAAAAAACTAACAAGGAAAATTTAATATGCAGTGGTTTTGAATTAATTCATATACACTATGTTTTAAGAAATGCACCTCTTCATTACATCTATGCATAAGACTTTTACGAGCAAAATTGCATGGTTTATTTTATAGATACTTATAAAATATGCAAAGACAAAAATTACAGATTCGATAACGATGATAAGTGAAGCATTTAAATGCGTAACTTTCGCCCCTTTCTTCATTGCTATTACATTTTTTGACTGAAACATTGCATTTTTGCATATTCCTTCATTATTTTCCCTCTTTTTTTTGCCTTATATTTTACTTTCTCTTTTTTATTTTCTTTTTCGTCCTTTGTTTTTTTTTTGCTTTTTTTGTTTCTTTTTTCTTCTTTGCTTGCATTTTGAAATTATTTCTTTCGCTCGTTCTTTGTTTGAATGCTTCTTTTCTTTCTTTTTACCTTCTTTGATTGTTTTCATTCTTTATTTCTTCCTTTTTGGTCGTTCTTCCTTTTGATTCTTTTATCTTTCACCTTCATTTTTTGTTATATCACTGCTTCTAATTTCTACTTTCGTCTTATTTTAATTCTTTTCATTTCTATAGTGTTTGAATCTGTTTTTGTTTTTTGTTTTTTTTTTTGTTCAGTACTCTCTTTTTCTTTCTAACTCTTATTTTTCTTTCTTTCCTTTCTTTCATGTCTTCTTTCTTTCTTTTTGATTTATTTTCGTCTTTTCTTTCTTGTTTCTTATAAAACAACCTCCTTTATTTTTTCAGTCTTTTGGTTTGTCTTTCTTTCTTGTAGCCTCTTTCATATTTCTTTTCTTTCTTTCATGTCTTCTTTCTTTCTTTTCGTCGTTTCTTTCTTTCTTTCTTTTATTCTTTTTTTCTTTCACTTTCTTATAAAACAACCTCCTTTCTTTCTTCAGTCATTTCTTTCTGTGGTTTGTCTTCCTTTCTTGTAGCTTCTTCCATCTTTCCTTCTTCCATTTTTTGTCTTATTTTTACAAACGCTTTCTTATAAAATAACTTATTTCTTTTTCTTTCTTCGTTTTTTGATATAATGGAATATGCATACACCTGTGTTCCCCCTCAGTGGAATATGATTGGCTGGTGTCCATCATAAATACCTACGGACGTGTAGGAGAGTCAAAAGCCTTAGTCTGAGAGCTAAGTCTATAACGACGCCCACTGGACTACGCCATTGATCTACACTTCTTACCTGCGACTACGACGCCTACTAGTTGATTACTGCTACCGTATTCTATTTGGTTATAGTAGCCAAAACCACTTAGCTACTTCGTTCAAATATATCCCTTTCCGGGACATATCAGTTTTCTCTTTCTTTCACAAATTCTTCTTCTATATGTGCCATGTTCCATTAGAGATCGAAATCCCGATTTCTTATTTTCTTCTCATTCTGAAGAATTTCAAACTCTAAACTCGCTCACTTAAAGCAAAGAACATAAAATATTAAACGGATCTTTTTAAAAAGTCACTCATTTTCTTTCTTTTTTTTCTTTTTTTTTTTACTCACGAACAACGTCAGTTTGGGAAAAATATAAAATTTCATTATTTTAAGCATCAACAAATACATACACACGCAACTCATTTTTTTCGCTTTCGCTAAAGTTTAGTCTGCGAAATGCATAGTGGGATGTATTTTCGAAACATTATAATTTTATTTTTCTAATTGTCAATAATATATACAGTGCGTATCAAAAGTAAGTTTACAAATTTGGGAGTGGATTCCTCACACCAAAACAAGCACAAAAGTTCATATAAACATATATCCGCAAATCCTTCATTTTTTATTTATTACATTTCAAGCTTACAGTAGACGATGTTAAAGTTACAATTCAAGATAGAATAAAAAAAACTTATTACCATTCTTTGTGGTGTCACGGATCCTGACTCAGCAACATGACGATAAATAGCAGCAATGGTTGGATGACTCAGATGCATTTGATCTGGAAACGCAATCTGATACAGGCGTGCAGACTCGCAGTCCATTACCAATATTTAGCTATCGTGGATTGAATGTGGCACAAGGCCGAGTTTATTGTGGGTCATCCGAGCCCGTAGGCCCGGCCAAAAATATAGCCATCGAATCCGCCTAGGCGGGTTCGAGGCCTGTCAACCTCCCCGAACGAAACCTTGCCCTTCGGCAAAGCTTCGTCCGGGTTCCTCTCTGCTAATGCAGAGAGTTTGACAGACGGCGTGGAGGGTGACTTAATACAGCTACAGTCCATTACCATTCGCACGGTATGTAAAAATGATATCTAGCTGCTCACAATATGAATATCCTGCCATTGCTGAACGGAAAGTTTCCCAGTTAACTCACTACTACACACGTTAAACGTTGAAGACAGAGTAACCACAAACGTACACGAATGGCAAATGTAACCTAGTCTCCATGGCAACACAGCACCATCTACCGTAATCTTTGTTTAAAGTTAATAATTTTGTCCTGGTTTTGATGTGAGGAACCCACCCCAAAGTTTGTAATTTTTTACACACACACACACACACACACACACACACACACATATATATATATATATATATATATATATATATATATAGATGTGTGTGTGTGTGTGTGTGTGTGTGTGTAAAAAAATATAGAAAATAGGAAAGAACTCGTTAGGTAAATAATCCAAAGTTCTTTAGTATTTTTGTTATTATATTTAAAAAATAGTACTTGATACACAAGTAGAACAATAGCTGAAAACTTCAATGTACTTTAATTCAATTTAATTCAAATAATTATATTGAAGTTTTCGACTCTTGTTTTGAAACCTGAGAACTCTTATGTAGCGTTGGGATCATATTTTTTTAAATAAATAATGATATATATATATATATATATATATATATATATATATATATATATATATGTGTGTGTGTGTGTGTGTTTGTGTATCAATTATCCTTTGTCAGTAAGTGTGATTAACCTGTTATATATATATATATATATATATATATATATATATATATATACATATGCACGATGATGAAGAGATGTATATGTGTAGGAATGGAAAGGTATCCTTCTTTTATTCGCCTTTCATTTCCCTTTTCTCAAAACATATTGGAGATTTCCTTTCTATTCATTCTACAGTCTAGCGATGATGTCATCTGTTTACACAAAATCAACATCTGCATAAAATGGAATTACAATACTAAGGTCACAAACATTCCCGCCTATCTTCATATTTATTAGCACCTATATCGATCTTCACATTCCCACTTCCCAACATCCGACATGGACATGGAATCGAGTGATTGATTTTTTTACGGTTTATCAACCCTTTGTGGATTATTTAAAATAGAATCATATTTTTGATTTTAAGAATAATTCTTTTTTTTTTTAGTGTGATTATTTCACAATCTATGTTTTGAGACTAACAATGACTTTTTCAGATACAAGTCTTAATATTTGATCCCATATTTGGAGAAATGAGATGGATTCATACCTTTTCCATGCGTGTTTGCATATAACGAACCCGCCTGAGTGGGTAACAGGAAAAAAAGGAATGTTAAAATGGGATGCCTCTTGAAGTCCTTTTTAAAATTTATATTTAAATGGATATATATTTTCTAATAAATGTATTTTAAATCGTAAAGCAAATATTTGAAAATTTAACAACTTGCCGTCAGTGAAATGAACGTTACCGAATTAATTTTGACAAAAACAACAAAAGGGTGTAATATCTAGCAGCCGACCTAGTAACTCAGAAGTTTGTCCTTGTTTTTTTTTTATGATTCATCTTTGTTTATAGGAATTTCATCTTCAATGTCTATATTAGCAGCCCCAAATCATGTTATCTTGGGGCGCTAGGTGGTTTTTCATTCTGTGGATGGCATACTCAGCAGATTATAAATGAGTGTAATAGAATCGAAGAGGTGGGTGGTGCCAACCCAGTGATTACAGTACGGTTTGGTGCAACCAAAGCGCAGCTCACGCAAGAAAGAATAATTCCTGTTTACGTAAACAGTTGTATACGCCCAGAGGAACTCTGTTGTCATTAAAAGATGGAGAATGTACTTCGCTTCTTTTTTTTTCTTTTTCCATTTTTTATTGAGCTTTATTTATTTATTTAATACGCTTATTCAATATAATTTGCTTAAATTGAGTCAGAGAAAACGATGAAAAGCGATAAGCATTAGTTTGTATTTTAAGACATTTTTCTTTTTATCCTCGATATTTACCAAGATGACAACAAAATTCAGAAGATAGAAACATTCGCTAACGATGGTATGAAAGAGTATATTTATTTTGTTTTGAAGTGAACTCTACTGAGTTTCACTGTTCCAATTTTATTTAAATATCTCTATCAATGTATCAACAAATCTATCATCATTACTCTTGGTTCTTTTTACATTTGATATATATTTCAATATATATATATATATATATATATATATATATATATATATATATATTTCTATATCTATCTATATATATATCTATATCTATATATATATATATATATATATATATCCAAATGTAAAAAGGACGAAAAGTAATGGTATATATATATATATATATATATATATATATATATTACTTTATCGTAATAACCAAGGCATAAGGCCCTATTGCTGTCTGCTTATGTTGGTGTCAGTTTTTTGTCCTTTTTCTTTCTTTTTAAGTTTGTATATTTTCTCTTCTTTTTTGTTGTTATCAAATTTTCTTTTTATCTTTTTTTAGTTTACTTTTGGTCACCTGGCAGGCTATTTGTTGGCTGCCCCAACACTTTCAATCTATCTATCTATCTATCTATCTATCTATCTATCTATATATATATATATATATATATATATATATATATATATATATATATATATATATATATATATCATGCTATGCCTTATCTATCTATCGCATTCAATTCCTTATCTATCTATCTATCTATCTATCTATATATCTATCTATCTATCTATCTATCTAGATAAGTTAACGGAAGGAAAAAGAAGGGCTTCAAATGCAAATGTCTGAACATTTAGTTATATCCAAATCAATGAATCAAATATATACATATTTAATATTATCCATGAGTTTTGGAAGATTAAATGGTTTTACAGGATTCAACATAATGCCACTATCATGTTCTGATCTGAATCCGATCGAAAATCTCTGCTCAGTTGTGACTATGAAATTATATGACGGTGGCAGATGAGAACAAAGCTGAACTTGGGGGAAATTAAAAGCACCATATCGGAAATTGACCCTTCTAAAATAAATAACTTAATAAAAGATAATATGTAGTTGACTATCATTGCGAAGAAGGATAACTCAATTTACATGCAAATGCGCCAAAATCTTATCATCTCTTTATTATCCGTTCTAATGTAGTTGTTAGTTATTTATAGATGATATCATTCAGGAATTATTGAAGTAAAAGGAGATTCTTTACTTTTGTATGATTCTGACAATACTTTTTTGAAAAAATCAGGTATCTTCAATAAAATATGAAGAAACATAAATTTTAGCGGAGGCGTTTTTCCGATATACAAATTCATTTTTAAAATTTGGTAAAACATTTTTAAAGCAAATTCGAGTTATTTAATTCATACTATATTGAACATAACACAGACTGTTTATATCTATATCTATATATATAAAGTTGTAGTCTCTGTCAGTCTGTTTGTTATCGAACTCCAAGCGGTTTGGAGTTGACCCATATATATGCTGAATCTACATTGCCCAAGGAACTTGGATAAGTATATTTCATTTTAATCAAAGGGGAATTTTTCCCTTTCATTTAAATTAAATTAAAATTTCAACAAGCGAATGATTCCTAATCAAAATATAGAAGGAGAAAGCCAGAAGATGTAGGCCACATCGGCAAAATCAAAGTGTAACAATATGGACGTCAAGTCCAGCAAGATGTCACCAATCAGTGGGTAGTGCCTTATAAATGCTGCGACAATTCAACTATCATATCAATGTTGAAATCTGCTCATCAATTCATTTAATCAAGTATTGCATCAAATACATGTCAAAGGAGTCAGTTTAAGCAGATTTTTCACAAACCCGTCACTGAATTTTTTTCCCTGTGATTTAAATTAAATTTAAAGTTTAACAAAGAAATGAGTTCTATTCAAATTATAAGACAAAGCCAGAAGATGCAAGTAACTTCGGCAAGATCATTCAATAATAGTGAAATACATCATTTTTCTCCATATATTATAACAATGATTTAAAATCAATCAAAATTTTCTGACAAGAAAATGAGTGAAACACAGCAAGGCACGTGTAATTCGGCTGGTGGAAAGATAAGCGTGTATTTAGGTACTTGAGTTTTTAAATTTCTGAGAAGACCAATACATACACACAAACTTACACACGAACACACACATGCACATATATATATATATATATATATATATATATATATATATAGAGAGAGAGAGAGAGAGAGAGAGAGAGTGACAGAGAGAGAGAGAGTGACACAGAGAGAGAGAGAGAGACAGAGAGAAAGTGAAGGCTGCAAACCGTTGGTATAATCTAAGCGAATCCTATCAACACAATATGCAATTTGAAATATTAAATGCTTAAACTGAGTCACAAGGAGCGCGCAATATATATATATATATATATATATATATTAATACATTATATATTAATTAAGATATCATTATGATATATATATATATACATATGCACATATATATATGCATTTATATATATATATATATATATATATATATATAGATAGATAGATAGATAGATATATCAGTTAAGACATTATTTATATATATATATATCAGTTAAGTCATTAGTTATATATATATATATATACATACATATGAATATATATATATATATATATATATATATATATATATATATATATAAGACATTATATATTAATTAAGATATCATTATGATATATATATACATATGCATATATATATATTTATATATATATATATATATATATATATAGATAGATAGATAGATAGATAGATAGATAGATATATCAGTTAAGACATTAGTTATATATATATATATCAGTTAAAATATTATATATATATATATATATATATATATATATATTATATATATATATATTCATATATATATATACATATGAATATATATATATATATATATATATATATATATATATATATATATATATATATATATATATATATATATTATTTAAACGTTATTTTAGTGGATCGATGATGTTTAGTAATAAAAAAGTAATAAAAGTAATAGAAATCCGTGGGATTAATAAATAAATGTATAAAGAATCCTTTCCCTTACAAATTGCTCTATTTACGTTAAACCAGGAAACTGAGCAATTATGTTTATTCTAAAAGTCAGAGAAAATCAACCTATTATTCATTCCAAAGAAGGGTAGTATCCATTCAAGGTATAAAATGGAGGTGTGTAAAGCATATAAGATTCTACATTATGAAGATATGTAGAATAGAAAACGATTGACCCCGGATTTTAATAGCCGAGGAAGTTCCTCAAAGCATAGGTTCTTGGGGGAAAAATGTTTTCCGAATGGAATTTCCTTCTGATCATCTGAATCTGTAGGACATGAGAACAGGTATCACATGTGTACATGCAGGTTTTAGTTGTTAGGCTCTGAACTGGTTGAACTAAACAATGCAGATTTTCTAAAATATATTCCATGATATGATAGCGTTCAGCGCGCATGTGTGGGAAAAGTGTTGTAAAGTAGAAAATTATTCATCATAGGCAAGGCCCTGTAAACTATATTTAAACACTGTCGAGGCTGTGTTTAAATTAGTTTACGCGGCTTAGGAAAACAAGACATGACTGAAGGGATACAATTTGTTGGGTTACATAGAATTGGATGAGTATCACCACCGGAAAAAAGTGAGTAGCAACGCTACTTCGAGTCTAGTCACTTCTTCGTCACTGAGGCCCTTTGCCCCAGTGGTATGACGCTTGAGTTTTATCATAACGGTCCGGGTTCGATTTTTAGGTAGTGGATGCGCGCTGTTGATGAGTCCCAAATAGGACGGTACTCCCTGCATTCTTTTGGGGACTATTGTAAGCTCAATAGATTACTATAAATATATATGTATATATACAACTACGTTGGACAAATGTTGGTATGCACTTTACTGGTGTTATTTTTTATGACATTTAAATTTATTTATTCCTATTAGAAATGTCAGAATAATTCATTTTCTTCATTCATAGATGTCCTCGGATATATAGATTTCGGTGCATTAACCACTGAACCATTTTTTTTTTTTTTTTCGAATTCATTTCATATACCATAAATTATCAATCGTGTTGGTGGAACCGTGTAAAAAGCTTCTATTCAGGTTTTGCAGAATTGTTCGGCATTTTCAATCTTCTCATACAGTATTGATTGGAAACAATTCAAATTATTTGCCATTATTCACAATACCTGTGAAAAAAAAAAGTCATGTCATGATATAAATAAATAAACAACTGTATACCTATTTTCGCCCCACTCGTATATATATATATATATATATATATATATGTGTGTGTGTGTGTGTCTAAACATATATATATATGTGTGTGTGTGTGCGTTTGTGTGTGTGTGTGTGTATAGTGTAGAGGAGATGTTTTAATTTATACTAAAATAGACTGGTTATTTCACATTTTCATGTAATTGTTCTCGAGTTGCTACTCACGTTTCACGCGCCCGTGATCTTCAGGTGACTATAACACACACACACACACACACACACACACACACACACACACACACACACACACACACACACACACACACACATATATATATATTTACACACACACACATATATATATATATATATATGTGTGTGTGTGTGTGTGTGTGTGCGTGTGTGTGTGTCAGTGTCTGTATATAAGTAAAAAATTCGTGGATAAGTAATCCAAGTGAATCCTAATAATATAAAATATTAAAATTGATCCAAAAAAGAGAGCTTAATGTATTTACCACAAAGCAGATAAAATTAAATTGTACCCCATATAGATGGCCTTTTCGCTCTAATACATACATACATATATATATATATATATATATATATATATATATATATACTTCCACACACATATCTGGGATCAGAGAGAGAGAGAGAGAGAGAGGGGAAAAAGAGACTGAGAGAGATAGAGAAAATTACTGCATATATGTTTACATGTCTTATTTAGTAAAATTACAATATAGGAAAATACATAATGATAATCATTTCATGTGGTTGAATACATTTGTTTATAAATATCTTATTTGATTTAATAGTAGAAAACTAGCGTTATAACCACGAACAGATTATGATATCTTCCCCTCAATTTTATATTATTACTAGCCGAATTACTCTCGCCTTGTTACGTGTCAGACATGTTTTTGTAAGAAAATGACGATTGATTTTAAATACTTTTTTTATAATTTGTGGAGAAAAATAATGCATTTCAGTATTTCTCACTGATCTTGTTGAATGGGTCCTCCATCTTCTCACTTGTTATTATATTTTTAATAGTAGTCATTCCCTTGTTCAAATGTAATTTTAATCAGAGGGAATAAATCATTGGGGATTTTGTAAAACAAAAGCTTTATCTGACTCCTTTGATATGTATTTGATGCAATATTTGATTGAATGAATTGATCAGCAGATTTCAACATTGATATGACAGTTGAATTGGTGCAACAATATGTATTGTAAGACACTATCCACTGATTAGTGATTTCTTGCTTAACTTGTCTATAGTGTGTCATTTTGAACTTGCCGATGTGACCTCCATCTTCTGGCTTTCTCCTTCTATATAGTGATAGGATCATCCCCTTTTTGAAATTTAAATTTAATTTAAATCAAGTGGAAAAATTTCAGTAGTGTGTTTGCACCCTCAATGAACCAGCTTTGATCGAAATGAAATATATTATCCGAGTAATCTCGGAGTACTTCGGTGTTCAAATTTAAATTTAATTTACATCAAATGGGGGAAAAAAAAATCAGTGTGGTGTTTGTGCTCTCCGTCCCACCCCG